TTGCCATCTGTGGTCTTCTTCTTGAATCTTCCCTTCCTTAGCTTCCATGACAATAGGCTGTCCCAGTTCGTAAACATCCATGACCACTCCTGCCCTGATTTTCATCCTGACTGCTCCTCCTCTTCCAGTCCTTGAATTGTGGGCATCACCTCCAACTCTGCTCTTTTCCTGCTCCTCTTTCCTGTGCATTTCTCATTTCTTGCATGTTTAATTCATGTCTGTGACTTCATCAGTGATCTCTATGAGGGAGACTCTGAAATTTTATCGACACAGATAGAAATGAGGATACGACTCATTTCCTTGACCTTCCTGGAGTTCTGATCTCCCGTTTTCTGTTACCCTCTAGACATGTCCCATTTGTATTTCCAATTCAGCGTTTCTGAAACTGAACTTGTTCTCTTCCCATCTAGCAAGCTCCTTATCATGGCCTCCAGGGGCCTTCCTGACCTCTCCCTATCTACCTGTCCAGTCTCATCTCTTGCCGCCACCCCATAAGCATCCTTCTTCCCAGTCACACCTACCTAACTGCAGTTGCGTGACCATGTCATGTTCTCACATGCCTCCATGCTATTAACTGTGTTCCTTCCACTGATATACCCCTTTTCTGGGCCTGGCTTTTTTCTTTCTTTCTTTTTTTCTTTCTTTTTCCCCTACCAACTCTTTCTAACCCTAAAAACCTCTCTCAGCTGTCACCTTCCATAGGAAGAATTCCTTGAACTCCTGGAGGTGACACCTCTCTGCCGTCTCCTGTGGCAGCCCCTGGAAACTTCTACTGTAGGACTAATCACATTGCAGTGTATGTGGCTGTTTCCTGGTTTCTGTTCCATCTAAACTGTGAGCCCTTTGAAGGGAAGGACCATGTCTTTGGTCTCTGCCCCTCCAGGTCTGAGAAAATATCTCCCACAAGTAAGTACTTAAGAAATCCTGGGAAAGCATGAAAACCATCTCCTCCCTCTGGGCTGCTCTATGTTTGCTGATGGGAAAGTGATCTCAAACTTGTATCTCTAACTGTACTTCCCCTCTAACTCCAGAACCATGTCCTCTACCACATCTCCTCTGGAATGATCAGCAGGTTTATCAGAGAGAGCAGGTGCTACACAAAATTGGATTCCTTGGCCCACTATTCCCTCCTCAGTAAAGGCCCAGCTATTTGCCCACGTGCTCAGAGCAAGAACCCAAGACACATCCTTAATTCCTCTCTTTTTCTTCCACTCCACAGCAAATACAATAATATATTCTATAACCTTTATCTTACCACATATTGGGAATATGGCTGTTTTTCGACTTCTTTAACAATGTCACATTAGTCCCAGCCACCATCACCTCTCACCCAGACTCCTATAGTGCCTTCTCTCTGGTCCCTGTATGTCCACTCTTTCTTCTCTACAAATGGTACCTCCACACAGGAGCTTTCACACAGCTACCCTTCAGGGTTTGGCCTTTGGCTGGCCCTCCGGATTCACTTCCTACTCCCCACCCCTGTGGACTCTGCTGCACCCACACAGACCTCCTGTGGGTCCTGAACACACCAGACAGGTGCCCACTTCCCCTTCCCATTCTTTCTGCCCCAAACACTATCCTTCCAGAACTCGGTGTGGATCACTCCCTTTCTCCCTCCGGTCTCTGCTCAGAAGTCACCTCCACATAGAAGACTTCTCTGATGGCACTGTCTTTCTTTTTATTTTATTTTTTAATATATATTTTTATTGATTTCAGAGAGAGAGAGAGATAGAAACATCAATGATGAGAGAGAATTATTGATCGGCTGCCTCCTACATGTGGGGGAGCCCGCAACCAGGGCATGTGCCTTGACCAGGAATTGAACCTTGACCACCTGGTTTATAGTTCAATGCTCAACCACTGAGCCACACTGGCCCAGCTGTAGGCATTTCCTATAAAAGCACCTCCCTGAACTGCTAGTCTCTTTCCCTGATTGTTTTCCTTTCCCCCTTGATATTTTACATTTATTTATATATCTATAGATGTTCTCTTCTCAAGAGTATAGAAGCTCCCTAAGGTCTTTGTCAACCTCATTGCCACAGCCTGGCATCTGGAACAGTTCCTGGGACTAGAGCAGGGGCTCAATGTTTGATGAATGAATGGATTATTCCAGATCTTGGAGGTGGTGTGTCATCTCTGAGCCCCCACTTGTCTCCCTGCCTGTGTGTGGTCACCAAGTCCTTTAGTCTTCTTAGTACTAGTTCAGTGAACATTTATTGTGCAAACTATCTTACTGTGCTTATTATTGAGCTACTTACTTCCCACAGCAGCTGTATCGAACGAGGGAGTGAATGTGACAAGACCGTTGTACACTCTCAAGCCCCACACCAATGTCATTTTCCTTCCAGTCCCACTGTGATGACACTAACTAATGTTCCTTTCGCTTCAAACAGGAGCCTCTAACTGATCCCCTGCTTCCAAGCTCTCCCCAGATAATAGATTCCAAACGCCGCTGCCCACTTACTAGTAATCTTCTAAAGCATCGCTACAATTATGCTCTCCTACTCAAAACCTTGACTGCCTGTCAATTCCTGACCACATAGTGTACAAATTCCCTGGCTTGGAACAAGATCCTCCCCAACCTGGATCCAGACTGCCTTTTCTTGTCTCCCTTTCTCCCCCACCAGAGCTCTTGACTTCAAATCCAGAACTCAGAGCAAGTGAGCATCACACTGCTGTCCTCCCTAGGTTTTTCCACTTCTAGGGGATCTTCCTTTTCTCTCTGCTCTTAATGGCATTAAGGTCTTTCTCTTGAGGGGGTATTCTTACCCCCATCCTACCTTTCCTTAAAGGGGGAAGGGAGGAAGAAGATGCAAGAAACACTTTAACTGTCTCTCTCCTCTTTCCATTCAGATTGGGAAGGCAGGGAAAGTCTGATCTCTGTTTGTCCGAGCTTCTCTGACTGTGTGTCCCTCCCTTTAAAACAGGCCATGTGGTTCTGTCTCTGGGATCTGCCTGCCAACAATAAGCGTGTATTCACCCCTCCTGCCTCTGAAAGGCAGGGTTCCAAAGGCAGGCTTAGCTTGCCTGGCCAAGCCAGTAGTCAGGGGAGATCGTGGGAAACCTACATTTGCTCCAGGATAAGCTATGTTGTCCAATCCAGCCTTTCTGGATTATAAGGCTGATGTTCTGGCCTCCGTGCATCTGACTATTTTTTTTACCTCGTGCTGAACTCTGAAGAGAAGGAGCAATTAATTACTACTCTTCCTTAAATTCAAATATCACCCAGATGACCCTTTTTACCAACTGCTCTATAGTATCGATTTTTATAATGTCTATTCAGATTTGTAATCTACCATCATAAGCATATAGGAAGAAGAGGCACTGTTATATACTATCCTTCTTCCTAAATCCCTTTAGAACTCAGGTTCATGGGTTAGTATTCATTTGCATGGAGGCCATAATGGGCTAATACATTTGATAGTAAGAAAAAAAAGTAAAAATAAAGTAGATATGATGAGAAATGGGATGTTTCCCGTTTCTTAGAATTTTGGCTGAAGCTCGGAAGCTAGTTACCATGTAGGACAAGTTCCCCACAAATGAAGAGGGGGATGTGGGGGAAGGGGGTTGCCTAGGGTAGCTGGCGTTTTCCAACAAGAAAAAGACAGTGTTGCTGTTTTACCATCTGGGTGGGCTCTGTTGGTGCCCACGATCTGAAGCAGCTACGTAACTAGAGTGGAGAGAGAATACGTTTTGTTCTGCCGTTTACATCTCACCATAAACACGTGAATAAGAGTTGGTTTTCTTGAAAGTAATGATAAGTCAATGAACTGGGTCAAAGAGCAGACCCTGGGAGCTTGGCACGAGGAGAAGGGTGCTAGTTTTATATCATGGGTTTATAAAAGGCTGTCTGTTTTCGGAAATACACGCAATTACATCAGCCCTGGCTGTTGCTGCTCTTGATAATGCACCATTAGTCATCTTTCTTCCCACAAATCCTCATCACGTGAGCTCAAGAGATTCAATGCTGAATTTCAAATCCACTTCAGGAATATTTTCACAACTGGTGTGTTAAAAGCCTGGCATCATTTGAATAAAAGTCACTTGTTTGAAGATCAGTGGGAAAGTTGGGGAATAAACAAGCTCCTGGTCATTGATTATGTTTTAAAAGTGTTACCAATGAATTGAGCCTTAACGTTCCTTGTGTAACTCTTAAAATCTATATTGCTATACTAGGTACCATGAAAATTCGATGGACTTGGGAGTTTAGAGGTTGGAAATTATAGTTGGTGAGGGTAAATGATGAAGCTATGACAAATGTTTATGTCCCTTTCCAAGTGAAAGAAGTTTGAAAAGGCTGCATAAGCTGATGAACACAAATGACTTCCACTATCTACCTACTAAAGCTAAAGCACTTTTTATACAATGTCCTAGAGGCCCGATGCACAAAATTTGTGCAAGAGTAGGCCTTCCTTCCCCCGGCTGCCGGCACTGGCTTCCTTCTGGAACCAGGACCTGGGCTTCCCTCGCAGCCCCAGCTTCGTCCAGAAGGTCGTCTGGAAGGATGTCTGGTCTAATTAGCATATTATGCTTTTATTATTATAGATTAGCCAGGGTTCCCCAGAGAAATAAAAACAACAGGATGTCTCTATTTCCATGTCTATCTATTATTTATATCTATCTTGAAGTCTGTCTATCTATCATCTATCTATCATTTATTGATATATTTTAAAGAATTGGCTTACACCATTATGGAGGCTTGGTGAGTCCAAAATCTTCAGGGTATACCAGCAGGCCGGAGACCCAGGGAAGGGTTGTAATTCAAGTCCAAAGTCAGTCTGCTGGCTGGATTCCTTCTTGCACGGGTGGGGTCAGTCTTTTTCTATTCAGGACTTCGACTGATTGAATAAGGCCCACCAACATTATGGAGAGCCATCTACTTTACCCACTGTCCACCAATTTATGTTAATCTCATCCAAAAAGCGCCTTTGCAGAAACATCTAGAATAATGTTTGACCAAATATCTGGGCACTGTAGCCCATAAAATTGACACATAAAATTAACCATCACATAAGATAATGTGAAGAATTATTAATTTTCGGTTGTTATTTGTCTTTTTCAAGAGAAAGCTACCAAGATGGCAAAATTACTGCTATTTGAGGAATAGCCACAGATTGAGATGTTAAACTGGAAAGGAGAAGACTTAGGAACATATAATACTACACAGATAGTGGCACCATCCAGAGATATATAATGTGTGTATAAGGTTATATTTCCTCTGCCTTTCAAAATGCTCCAATGTCTGCATGGGAAAGGCAGAGAGCACAACCAGGACTCTCAGAGGAGACACATTTTGACTCAAGACTGAACCATCAGGAACTGTGACTTCTGACCGCAGTGGGTCCTGAGCCGACTCACTACTGCCCTCCTGTGGTGAGTGTGTTAAACTTTTTTCTCTCAAGTCCCAACTTGCCTGGTCCCGGTACCGCACAGAGACAAGGTCACCAAATCTGCAGCCTCCCCCTCATAACACCTCTACTTTTAGTCCTTTTCCCTTTCTATCTCAATGAATAGGTTTCCTGGATTTTACCCAAACCAGATTCCCTGCTGTGTGTCAGCCCTATCCTTTCCACCTTCTCCAGGTTCCGGCTCAGGTGAAAAAAATAACTCCTTACAAATAAATATGTGATGTGCTATGCACTTAATATCTTATGGCAATTAGGATTTTTAACCCTGATGTCTGCTATGGCAAGCTTACGGCTGACAGGATTTTATGTAAACCCTATGTTATGTATTTATTTACCAAAGTTACTTTGATGTCTTTGGACATGTGCAGGAGTGAGGATAAGGGAGAGAAAGGCAGATGTACAAAAAGGCAGAGCAAAGTGTGAAGTGCGTGTAGGTGGAGAGACTGAGAGTTCCTTGCTCTTTGTATCGAGTACTCAAGATACATTAGTGCACATGGGGCATGGCGACCAGAATCACCCACAAACCAGGCATTAAAGGCACAGACAATAGCTATGTGGTAGGCAGTTAGACAGACATGAACAGAGTAGGAACAATAGGCCAGCTACGGAAGGTCACCAGGGCGGAAAGCCCTGGGTACCTAGCAACGAGAAAAACTGGGAAAACAAGGACCTTGCCCCCAGGGTGACCTTTCCTTCCTAGCTTATCGATGGTCATGTGGTTTAGATCCCATGACCTTTCATGCCACTGGTCATGTGGTTCGGACCCCCCTCCCCGCCCTTTCCTGCCCTGGCATGCCACTAGTCATGCAGTTTATTTTATTTTTTTAAAGATTTTTATTGATTCAGAGAGGAAGTGGGATGGAGAGAGAGATAGAAACATCAATGATGAGAGAGAATCATTGATCGGCTGACTCCTGCACACCCCACACTGGGGATCAAGCCCGCAACCCAAGCATGTGCCCTGACCGGGATACGAACTGTGACCTTCGGGTTCATAGGTCGACACTTAACCACTGAGCCACGCTGGCTGGGCTAGTCATGCAGTTTAGACCCCTCCTTAAAGGCAGAACCAGGGGGTCTGAGAATAGCCTCATATGACTCCCATATAAGCCCTTGCAGGACCATCCCCTTAATTAAGCATTAAGCCCTCAGGACAATGAGGTTCTGACCAGCACCAAATAATCTTAAGAACAAAACTTCGAGTCTGCTGACCACAGAGGCATCCTTTACCTCCACACATTCACACCTTCTGATTTTTGTATGAAAGAGCTCAAATGTAGATATGAGCAAATCTTAACACACACACACACACACACACACACACACACACACACACACTCTTCAGGCCAAGCAACAAATGGTCATGTCCTGAACTTCTAGAATGCCATTTTGCAACCTGTGGCCTTCAGTATCTCAGTTGCATTGCTGTGTTTCTCTAGAGTTACAATTTTGACTTTCTTTTCTAGATCACTAGGTGCCAAATAAACTTCAAGATCTGATTTTGAGGAAGACTTCGTTATTCCTGGTTGTTGGTAACTACTGAAATCTCTCTTTGCTTAGAGGTGAGTTTTCATTTTGTTTAGCTAACTGTTGATGAAGAAAAGATGTCTTAAAAATTCCAACCCTTCTATCCATTATTCTTTTATCTCAAAAGTTTTTACTTAAAATAGAAGGTGTGAATGTGTGGAGAAAAGGATGCCTCTGATAGATCCACTGTCCTTTAAAGCTAAGCTGAAATAGCCCTAAACTTCTTTCAATGGTTTTGAATCTTTGTGAGGCTGACATTTGTTATAAATGTAGCTTTTCAGTTTTATTTATCTAGAAATATCATTATTTGTTAATACATGCTGCCACCTAGTGGACCAGCTGAAGGGCTGGGTCAGGGATTCAGACTTGGCTTTGTATCTGAATTTTGGTGTTAGGCTTCATCCAAATTGTGTAACACTAGAGGCCTGGTGCACGGATTCTGCACATTGAAAGTAAATTAATTAGAAGGTGGCCAGCGGGGCGGGACTGGGCCAGACAGGCCGGACACACCCTAGAGCCAACCTCCTGCGGTCCCTCCCTGGCCTGCCACACTTGGGGAAGCGCCGGGGCTCTAAGGGTGTCTGTGGAGTGAGCAGGGTCCCTTCAGCAGGTGGGGTCCCTCGGCCTGGCCTGTGGGGATCGGGCCGAAACCAGCAGTCTGACATCCCCCGAGGGGTCCTGTAGTGTGAGAGGGCACTCTGTAAAGTTGCTGTTGCTTGGCAGCTCCTGCATTGAGTGTCTGCCCCCTGGTGGTCATTGCGTATCATAGCTACCGGTTGGACAGTCGCTTAGCCTTTTATATATATAGATGCTTTTTAGTCTTTAAAAAAAACACACAGATTAAGAGCTATGTAGTTAGACTCTTTTTTTGACACAGCACACTTTTTCTTTTTGCCACAGTTTCTCTTTATTAAGAGAGATATCAGTTTTAATCTAAAGAATTGAAAATGTTCTTGAAGACTGTTGTGAATTACTAGCCACCTCTTGTAAAGGGTGTCCCAAAATTCATGCAAGATTTGAATTTTACACCATTTGTGCCATAAGTGTTGCCCAAAGAAAAAAAAGATAGCGTGACAGCTGACAGTTCAGGGTTATTAAAAATGGAGTGCTACATGAAAGAACATGTTTGTATAGTTGAGCAATATTTTAAAAATAATGAATGTTTGGCAGCTACAGTTCGCAATTTTCGTGCAAAATATGGTCGGAATAGTGATTTAACTTCATCAACTGTGAAGAGATTAATTAAAAAATTTAGGGAGACTGGATCAATTAGTGATCTTAAACACTCTGGCC